GAGCCCCGGCAGCAGCCCCCCGCGGCCCCGGGGAGGGGGTCTGGGTTTTGGCAGCGAGCAGGGGCTGCCTAAGGCAGGGCTGGCCCCGGCCCCGGCCGCTCTCCAAGGGGCCCCCTGCCTCCATGCTATCACAGCTCACCAGCTCCCCACCGCAGCTGCAATCAGGTTTATTTTCAGCAGAGAAGCGTGAGTCATTTCATGATTTAAAAGAAAGAAAAAACCCACAAATTAAAAAACCCAGATTTTTTTCCTTAAAAAAACCCATCAGAGTATTCATTTTCTAATCCCAGCATGACAGCTTTTTGGAGGGTCCTGAGAGCCGGGTGGTGGGCAGTCACCCCCAGCACCACGATGGGCTCAGCGCCCTGCCCACGTGCATGATGCTGAGCCCCGGCAGCTGGGCAGGGACAGCAGGTCCCTACAGCACAGGTGGCCCTGGGACTGTGCCCCCTGAGCTGGGGACACCACACCAGCACCTGATGGGCAGGGGACACAGCACTGCCAGCCTGGGAGGGAGCGGGAGGAGGCAACTGCAGGGTGTCACGGCCCCTGCACCAACAACCCGCCACGAGGGGAAACTGAGGCATGATGGCTTTAAACACACCAGCGCTGGCCAGGCATGGCCCTGCGCCCTGCCAGGCACCATAACTGGCATGTTACCCAGAGGCACAGTACCCAGAGGCACGATACCCAGAGGCACGGTACTCAGGGGCACAGTACATGGAGGTGCAGTATCCAGAAGTGCAGTACCCAGAGGCGCGGTACCTGGAGGCACGGTACCCAGAGGCATGACATTCAAGGAAGCACAACACCCAGAAGTACAATAACCAAAGGCATGACACCCAAGGAGACCCGATACCCAGAGGCACAGTATCCAAGAAGCATGATCTGTAGAGGCATGACACCCCAGGAGGACGGATACCCAGGAGGCATGATACCCAGAGGCAAAACATCCGAGGAGCCACAATACCCAGAGTCAAGATGCACAAGGATGCACAATACTCAAGGAAGCACAATACCCAGTGGCACGATATCCCAAGGCATGATATCCCAGGAGGCAAAATATCCGAAGAGGCACAATACCCAGTGACATGACATCCAAGGAGGCATGACACCCAGAAGCATAATACCCGGAGACACAACAACCAAGGAGGCATGACAGCCAAATACCTGATACCCAAGGAGGTGCGATACCCAGAGGCACAATACCCATGGAGACACAGTACGATATCCAAGGAGGTGCCATACCTGGGGGTGTGACACCCGAGGACATGCAATACCAGAGGAAGCACAACACCCAAGGAGATGCAACACCCAGAGGGGTAATACCCAGACAGGAGGGTGGCCAACCCCTGTGCCTCCAGTGCCATGGGGGCTCCTCGGGGCCACCTGGAGGCAGGGCCAGCCCGACGGTGTGGCTGGCCATGGGCTCTGGGGTGAGCAAGCAAAGCACCCACTTTCCTGCAGCCTGGCTGCCCAGCCAGCACCCCCCAACACCAGGACTGGGAGCCCCGTGCCAGGCCACGGGGTTGCTGGGCCGGTAGGAGTCCTGGGTTCTGCCACGGCTGGCTGGGCGGGATGGGGACTCCCCCCTCCCCATCCGTGTGCCCAACACTGGGAATTTGTTTGCTGCAAAGGGGAGGCCACCGTGGTGCTGCTGGGGCTGCAGGAGGACAAGAGCCCTTTCATGCTGGCCATGCCACCCTGGGGTGCGGAGCAGAGCTGCCAGCACAGTGCAGAGCCGGAGGGGGGCACTGTCCCAGGGCCCCCCACCCACCAGGCAGCACTTCCCACCCCTGATGTAACTTCAAGCCCTGGCACGAGGGCTGCCACGCGGCCCTGACTCAGAGCACCCACTGACTCACAGCATCTCCACAGCATCACACCAGGGCCACCGTGGCTGCTTGCCAGCACCGGCACCCCGGAGTGCCGCCGGGGAGAGGGGAGAGCGCAGGGGTGGCTGCCAGGGCCACGGCACGTCGGCTGCGTGAGGGTGGCACTGCCCCATGGGAGAGCATCCCCAAAGCACCCAGCACTGCTCAGCACACCGACGGCAACTCACCTCCTCCTGCTGCTGGATCACCTCCCACGAATAGACAGATGGACAGAAGGATGGACGAAGTGATGGATGGCAGCCCCCAGCCCTGTGCTCAGCCACAGCCACTCCGGGTGCCTGCGACTGTTTCCAGGCTGGCAGAGGGGCCGTGGTGAGGGCTGGACAAGGCCAGGGAGAGCGTGGCAGCTCAGTGCCGGGGCCAGGATGCCGAGTGTGGCACGGCCTGGCTCCCTGCTGACTTGTCGGCACAAATGTTTCAGCAGGGGATGAGTGCCGCCACGGGGGAGGTGGAGCCGGGGACAGCCAGCCACGACCGCGGCGGCCGCCTGTGCGCCTGGGCGTGTGTGCACAGCACACGGCACAGCCGCCCACCGCCCGCCCGCCCACAGGGCACAGCAACAAGGTCTCCATTGAGCGTGGCAGGACGGAGGGAGCTGGGGGCCGGCGTTACCCACACTCCTGGCGAGGACGGCTCCCGGCACTGCACCGCACGCGTGGCAGCCGGCACGGCTCCCAAGGCCCCACAGCCCTGGCCGGGTGCCGGGACAAACGGTCTGGCCGGTGGCTCAGGCTGGAATTGGGGATGGGCAGAGCCAGGGGAAGAGCTGGAAGGATGCAAACAGGGCTCCCCATGCTGGCACCCCGAACCACAGTGCTTCCCACAGGGCCACCCTTGGCCCACCACCTCCCAGCAAACCCCACCTGCCCGGCGCCCCGAGGAGAGCCCAGTGCTGGTGCCAGTGCCAGCCCAGCCCCACAGGACCCTACAGCCCCTGCCCTCTTGCTTGGCACAGCACATGCTGTCCTGGCACCCCCGGGTCCTCACGGCACAGGGCAGCGACCACCTGTGTGCCCCCAGTGCTGGACGAGGGGCCCCTGTTCACTTCTCGCGCACTGGCAGCTCCCCTGAACCCCTTGCCTGGATGCCTGGCAGCGCTCCCGGGCTTGCCCCATGCAGGGCCCGGCGAGCCACAGCCCAGCTGGAAGTGGGGTGTCCCACAGCCCCACCTGCAGCACCAACCCGCGGGACCCCAGCAGCAGGCAGGGGACACCCACGGCCCAAGGGGGATGGGGTTGGGGACAGGCAGTGTCCGGCCCCACACAGCCCCGAGAGCACAGCTGCATCCCAGCCACATCCCGGCCACATCGATGCCGGTTGGTACCTGGGCCTGAACCTACCGCGGCATCACCACAGCCCAGCGTGGGCACACGCAGCCCCCACGCGTGCCCAGGGCACAGGGACATCCCGACCGGCATCACCCACGGACACATGCACCCACGGATGACACACGCACACACGGACACGCTTCTCACCTCTGCCGCGGGGCTCGCATCCTGCCCCAGGCCGGGCACCACTGCCCCGCGCCGGGTAGCACCGGGCTGGGCACCGGCGGCACCGGGCGGCACCGGGCCGAGCCGGCGGGTCTCCGCAGGCGCTGCCTGGCCGCCCCAGCGTGCGCCGGGGAGGCGGCTCTGCGGCACCGGCCGGCTCCGCCTGCCGCTGCATCCCCTCCTCCTCCTTCTCCTTCTCCTCCTCCTCCCTGCCTCCATCCTTCATCCATCCCTGCTACCCTCCATCCTTCCTTCCCTCCTTCCATCCCTCCCTCCATCCCTTCCTCTGACCCTCCATCCTTTCTTTCCCGCTCCATCCCTCCTTCTGACCCTCCATCCTTCCTTTCCCACTCCATCCCTCCCTCTGTCCCCCCCTTGCTCCCTTCCTCTGCCCCCCTTGCTCCCTCTCTCCATCTCCCCCTTTGTCTCCCCAGTCCCCCTGCCCAACTGCTAGCCTGCCCCAACTGACACAGCCACCCCCCCCCCCCAATCCACTTCCCCCAGTCCCTCTGGACTGAATCCCAATCCTTCCCCACCCTTCAGTCCCCCAGGCACCATCCCTGATCCCTCCCTGACCCCCCCAATCCTTCCCCTAATTTCCCAGTCACCCCAAAAGACCCCCATTTAGCCAAGATCCCCCAAGGCACTCCTAACCATTTGTCCCAATACCCCAGTTACCCCCAGTCCTCCTTGTCATCCCCTACCACCCTGGGTCTTCCTTGGATGCCTCCATCCAACCTGACACCTCCAATCCCCCTTGTCACCCACAGAGCCCCATGAGGCCCCCAGGTACCCTTCCAGCCCCACAACACCCTCACTTGCTCTCTAATCTTCCATGACTTCCCAGTCCTTCACTGGGACACCCTTGTCACCCTCGATCCCCCTTGACCCCACCATCACCCAACCCCCGCTTTAACACCCACCGTCACAACCTAATACCCCAATCTCCTTCACCGTTGCCTCTCCTTTGCCACCCCCTATCCCGACCCTAATAACCCCAGTCCCCTTTGACCCCCCTAATTCCTTTCCCTGCTTGATACCCCAGCCCCAGTGCTGCCCCTGCCCTCTCCCCCAGACCCACACCCTCTGCAGGGACCACCCCCTCCATCACTCTCCTCCATCCTGCACCCACGGGCCCTTGGCCAGCCATCCCCTGTGGCCCCCCACACCTGCCACCAAGCAGATCCCATCCAGGACCCCTGTATGAATGGGGTCAGCAGTGGGTTGCCGTGTCCCCATAACCCCCAGACTCCGTTCCAGTGGTTCATTGGCCACCACGGCCCATGTCCCCCGGGCAGCCATCCCCCTGGCCCTGCCAGCTTTGGGGTCCCCACCAGCCCTAGGGGCCCTTCCTCAGGACACAGGTAGGGACCAGATTCAAGTCTTGCCAGCTGGCTCCCTTGGAGGGCCAGGAGCCGGGGGACATGCCTGCTGGCACTGCCACCCCACCAGTGCCCCCTGTGTCCCAGCAGGCCCCCTGCGAGGGACAAGGTGCTGGGGTGCCGCTGAGCTGTGCCTCCAGCACTGCTCCCCAGGAGAGGGCACCAGCCGGCCAGGAAAAGCCAGCAAATACGATGTGGCGGCAGGGGGGTTGGCCCGCCTCCACACAAGTGGGCCACAGGTGCCACGTGGGAGAGGGGCCACGGAGACGTACAGAGGCGTTGGGCAAACCCAGGTGGTGCCAGCATGGGGAGCAGGGTGCCAAGACGCCGGGTTGGTGAACACCTTGAGCAATGTCTTAATGGTTAACCGAGGCCAGGGCCAGTGGCAGCGCTGTGCCAAGGGCCAGTGGGGCTGTGGGGCCGTGTCCCAGCCACAGCATGTCCTGCAGCATGGGTGCCCCCAGCCCATGGCACACGTGAGGCTGTGGACAGGGAGCCCTGTCCCTGTCCCTGGGTCACACAGCCCCGTCAAGGGGCCATTTCAGGACCCCGCCGCAGATTTCTCCAGCTGCTGCCTTGACCCCATCTCTCGCCCTGTGTCGGCTGCCCTGGACTTTCCCTCCTCTGGCGTCACAGTTGTTTCCTGGCTGTGGCTGCAGTGTATGCAGCACCAGGGTATAGGTAGTGCCAGGGTGTACATAGCACCGGGGTGTATGCAGTGCCGAGGTGTACGTAGCGCTGGGCTCTCACACCTCAGCAGTGCTGGTCCATCACTTGGGCTCTGCTGGGTTTAACAGCCTCTGGGGCCACCCCAGGTCTCACATGGGGCAGTTGGGTCCAGCCCTGCACCTTGGGCGGCACAGAGTCTGGGGAAGGGCTCAGTCCTGTCAGGACCTGGCTTGGGAGCGCCGTGTCCCTGCTGCCCAGCCGAAGTGCATGGAAAGTGGTGGGCAAGGAAGGGCCAGATCCTGGCTCCCCCCCTGGGGTCTGTCTGGTCCAGCTGCACTGCCAGGTTTTGTCCCCATGAGCAAGGGGATGTCCTCCATCCCTCACCATCACTCATGCCAGGCTGTGCCTGGCCCCATGGGGTCCCCACACCGTCCCCTCTTGAGGGCCAGCACTTTCCCCCACGAGGTCACTGGACACAGTCACATGGCTCTTGCCCCACGGAGGGTGTTTGCTGGGCGGCTCCCATGCACCCCACGTCATTGGGAGCCAGTGGCCAGGGCTGGCCCCATGCCCCTGGCCCCTTATCGGGGGCATTGCTCAACAGCGGGTGCAATGCCGGGGGCGGGCAGGGGCCACGGCACTGCCTCACCTCTGGGCTGTGGGGCCTGGGGAACCCCCATTCCTGGGCAAGCTGGGGGGACGTGTCTGGGCTTGCCATGGGCTGGGGGCTGGGCTGCTCCCCTGCCGGCAGCACTCCCAGCTTTGCGGGGAGCCACCAGCACCCCCATGGCTGCCACCGCTGTTCCCCTCCTGCCTTGCCGTGCTGTGATGTGCGGGGCAGGCACACTGAGGCACGGCCGCGGTGAGCGGGCGGGGGGACACGCTGCCCCCCGCTCCCCTCGGCTTCGTGGCTCCCCGGCCCGGGGGCAGCGGGGTCCTGCCGGGGCACCCCCTTGCTCTGGGGCTGCTGGC